TGAGAGACACCAAAGAGACCCAAAAATGCCAAAGACTCAACTGTCTCAAGCAATATAATAATGTCGACTGAATAAAACAAACTGAGAAAAACGATCAGAAAAACGTAGCCGGGCCACATCTATTTTGGAACATGTTTCGAACGCTCCGTTAAACGCTGACAATTTGTAAGAAATATACATTTTAATTATTCTGCTTTTGCGCCACATCAATGGGGTTATCATAAATCGATATCAGCGCTTCCCGCTCTTTAAAAATATGCCAGGGAACTCATGAATGTTATGATTTCATCAGTGCTCACGATATTTAAAACAAAATAAGTCTTGGATTGAAATAGAATCTCTATAAATTAGACGGACATATATTGCGATAAATGAACAAGAGAATCTAGAGCCGGTTGAGTGACTTGAAGTGCACATGGATGGTCGGGCGTATGATTGAATGACTGGAAGAACGAAAGTATGCATGATTGAGCGTATGACTGAATTATTGAAATAATATTAATGATTCATTTGGTATATGACTGTATAGTCTCATAAAATGTGAATGAGTGAGTGGGTCCCAAAGACAAAGTCATTCTTAACTGGACTGCTCTTCATGTGTCCTCCCCAAGAGCGCAACCCATTCTTGAGTCTACCAAGTCGTTCAGTCAAGTATGCAGACGAAAGTAAGAACGTGTAAAGAACTGATTGGGCATTTGAATGCAGAATTTAATGATGGGTGAATGGGCATAAAAAATAACAGCAAATATAAGCAGATGAAAAGTGAAGTGAGGCAATAATGTGTAGTGTCACCAGACCTCTTTAATATAAACAATAAAACAACCCTTAGAAATATAAAATGGTGAGGTTTCAGAGTGAATGATGAAAAATATTAGTAACAACAAATGTGCCGACGACACGGATTTAATAGCAGTTCTAGCAAAACAGACTTTCAATTGCTTCTAGATACTTTGTAACGGAAAAAAGGAAGAAAGTTGTTGTTGAATGGGAAGGAAACAGAATGTTTGGTAATATGAAACAGCAGTAAATTTGTAATCTCGTAGGCAAAGCAAAAAACACCTAGCGATTTAACAGTTTAAATTATATCTATATAGCATATATAATTGCATCTGATGCAATAACAAAACGAAGAATTGCATTGGTTAAAAAAAGTTTGAATAAAATGAGCCCAATCCTGAAAAATAGACATTTCCCAATAACTACGGATATAAAAATTCTAGAAGGCTACGTGTAGTCAACCATTCTATAAGGCTGGGCAATAACTAAAGAAATGAAACTAAAATAGAAGCAATAAAAGTGTGGTTTCTAGCGAGACTGTAGGGGATTTCTTACAAGGAAAAGAAATCAAATGAGGTAGTACTTGAAGATGCCTATGTGGGCCGCACGTTGATAGAAACAAAAAGGAAGAGACAAGTGCAGTTTCGAAGACACTTGAATAGACGTAAAGGCAAGGGACTTGAAGATTTCACTCTCACTGGTAAAATTGAAGGCAAACGAGTCAGGGATACACTTCGAGAAACTCACTCGAGGAGCCAAAAAGAGATGGGTGATGGGGAAAGATCAGGATGATAAGCTTTTCTGAGAGAGGCCGAGCAAAAGGCTCCCATGTCTTTCGCAGATCTGGCACTTAATGATGATGAACGCACACGCACATGTCTAATTTCACAGGGTGAAAGGCTACATGTGTAAAACCACATTTTTTCTCTTACATGTATAAAGATATTATGTTCTTTCTCATTATCCTCCAAAACACTAGATGCCCCCCCCTCCCGAGGAAAATACGTTTTGTTTGGAAGCAGTAAAGCGGGAATAGACAGATTAGAAACCCCTTGACATAGTGTATGATATGATTCCGCAAACAAAATGTATTCTCTGCTTTAATATACTAATGCCAGTGGAAATTAACCCACGACATAATATGTAAGGATCGCGCACCTCGAAGCCAACAAACAGTGTTTCGAACCACGTAGACTACAAAACAAAAAAAACGACAAAAAAGATTTTAAAGATGATGGAACAAACAAAGAACAAAAAAGACCCCTCCATCCCAAAGAAAAAAGGACAACGCTCAACCTCCCCCCAGCCTCTGTGAGAAAGAACACAAAAACCCGATTACTCATTTTATCACCAGAAATACATATATGTGTTGGACATTCTAATCAGAATAAGTGGTCACTGTTGTCAAGAAGCCACATGTTGCATAGATATCAGACAAACTTTCCATCCGGCAAAATCTCAACATAATTGGTCTGGATTTCACGACCCAGGAAACCGTTTATTTCTTACGTATTGTCCTGTATAATCTCAGAATAAATGCTTGCATTTTGATAATACAGAACTACAACAGAGGCTGTGTAAAAAAGAAGAAATTGTGAACAACAGCACCCAAAACTGCAACTATAAGAATTAAAGAAGAAGAAGAAGAAGAGGAAGAAGAAGAAGAAGAAGAAGAAGAAGAAGAAGAAGAAGAAGAAGAAGAAGAAAACAACAACAATGATAACAACAACAACAGGAACAACAACAACAATACTGCTTGAACTCTACTGGTTCAGCTGATGCTTCTGTTGATACTTCTGTGGCTGCTGCTTATGCTAAAGCTGTTAAACATATGTCAACCAAAATCCCAAAAATGACACAGAAATACCAAAGTAATAACAACATAAATTATAACTTAAACAACGGCAGGAGGAAAGGTAGGAAAATCATCTTTAACTTACTGCCAGCAATATCTACAGCTGCGACAACAACAACAGCAATTATCGTGAACATGACTTGAACTTTTTAAAGAGACTTCATAAAAACCCAGTAGGCATCCCTAAAAACAGTCTCAAAGAAAAGGCTTTGCTGCTATGACAACATCAGGATGATGGGGCAATCAATTTGTACTCGAGACAGGAAAGCAATATCAATCAAATTGAAAAGGTGGATAGCAGATTCAACGGTTCATTAGTTTTTCGCAAAAGTAACTTTATAAACAGGCTGCCTTTTCTGCATGAAACATTACGATTGAATACTGTCGGTGCTTTTTCAAACACATGCAAGAGTCATTTTTCAGATTTAAGAGTTATGGGTAAAAAAAAGGAAGAAAGGGTGATTTTATAATTCCTATATTTTTTCTCCTACAATGGTAGAGTAACCTGAAATAGGACAGAATACGTTTCTTAAGATAACATCATTTTTCGCTCAATGCTTGGAGCTGACCCCTCAACCCACAGGTTGGATTTCAGCCTTACAGCCAGACGAGGACATATCGATCAGCATAAAAATGCATGCTGATGATAAGCTGTTTGACAGATCACCGAGATTAAGAGAGAGAGAGAGAGAGAGAGAGAGAGAGAGAGAGAGAGGGAGAGAGAGAGAGAGAGGGAGAGAGAGAGACAGAGAGAGAGACAGAGAGAGACCGAGAGACAGAGACGGAGAGAGAGAGAAAGAGAGAGAGAGAGAGAGAGAGAGAGAGAGAGAGAGAGAGGGGGGGGGGAGAGAGATAGTATGGGAGGGGGTAGGGACATTATTATCAACGTGTACCTGGTAGCAAGACAATGGGCAAACAAAAGATGTGGACACAGGAGCTAAAGAAAAAGAGAGTTGGGCCGTTACTGTGGTGGTAGTTTGGCTAACAAATGGAAGTTCTGGGTTTGGACCGCAATAGGTTCGGGAATATATTTCCACACCCGTCCAAAGGTCCTGCCAGGCGATCTATTGCTGCGCAACAAAATGGCGGTAGCGTTTCTTTAGTAATACACGAACGTCAACAACAACACCACCACCAACAACAACAATGACAAAAACAGTAACAATAAGAAAAAAACATTTACAACAATAACAGTAACAGCTTCATCATCATCATCATCATCATCATCATCATCATCAACAACAACAACAACAGCAACAACAACAACAACAACAACAACAGCAACAGCAACAACAACAATAAAAGTAATTAGCATACAACCATCAAAATACATATTTAAACAACAACAGAGGCAACAGTAACAGTAACAGCATAATGACAAGACACTCCGACCCGAGTTCAGCACAATAGCAACGAGATGGGAAAAACACCCAAAAGAACAGTTTTCATTGAGCAGTCCATGAATGAATAGAAAAGCAGATAAATATGTGAACAAAGTCGGGATTATAATTATTGTTTTTGCATGTTCTTTGGCCACAAGCGAGACGTAGGTTTAATTAACACTGCAGATACTTATTTAGGGGGTGGGGTGGGTGGGGGACCAAGTACCGGTATGTTGAACGAATTTTGTGCTCCTAAGGCAATGGCCTTCTTTGACTTTTATTTCAGTGCACGTAGAGTAACGAAAGAGAGAGCATATTAATATGTTGCATTCCCTGAATGCTGAAATATTATAAATGACACGAACATTCCCCTTCTTTAAAACGGACGTATAACAACAACAATAACAATAATAATAATAATAATAATAATAATGATGATAATAATAATAATAACAATAATGATAATAATGCCACCACCAACTACTAACAATATTAATAACAATAACACTACTACTACTACTACTACTACTACTACTACTACTACTACTACCACTACTACTACTACTACTACTACTACTACTACTACTACTACTACTACTACTACTAGCTCATTCGTCAAAGTCTAACGATTATCAATACATCCACAGAAGAGAATATAGATAAAAGTAGATGTATGACTTGCGCAAAGGTTTATTTAAATTGAGAAAGAGCAGCACAAAAACCAAATTCAATCTCTCGCTTAAGTACAATGTATCTGATGGCTAGAAAAAGACAAGACGCTCAGATTAATATCTAGGTGCAGGAGGTTGTCAGAATGCTATCCATATTAAAGGGCAGAGGTACCAGCAGAGCCTCGCACTCCCAGCTTACTAGGGTTTGGGGGCCTGGGCCAAGGACGCCATACTCGGTGGTTTACCAATGCGTAGCACCCAGGCCAGTATGACAATCTACTGCCACCTGCTGCCCCGGTTGGTTACTATTGGCCTTCCACCATCAACTTCGAAGCTGTGGCCGGGAAGAATGCTGAGATCTTCGTCTGTAACACATGACATGCATCATATAATATACCGCTACCGTGGAGAACTGAGAGAGCTACTAACGTGGTTCGCTGAAATTCTCAGTGAGCCTCATCCGCCCTGGCTATTAATATCAACGAGGTACGCGCCCTCTGAAGTCATGCTAGAACACCAGTCCATACAACAGGTTGCTCTGGATTACATGTTACCAGAGGTAGGGATTTTCTCTGACCTGACCCTACGGACATAGGACGAGGAAAACATACATTAAATGCTCTCAGATCACCCCAAAAATAGGGAGTGAACAGTCTGACTGTGGGTTTTTTTTGCGTAGGAGCTAGAATAGCATATTGTCATGGTGAAAGCAACATGCCTGCCATAGTTTTCCCCTATTAAAAAGGTAATTGTCTTCACGCCTTTATCAACAAAATTTAGATCTCGAGAAGATGGACTTCCGACCCTGACAGCCAGGACCAATCCGGGCCGAGAGGAATACAACATCTTAGCAAATAGACCAGGATACTCCATAAAATTTTCTCGACTAGGAAGTCGAACTCAGGTCTCTTGCGTGCGACAGCGAATCGCCTAATTGCTACGCCACAGGCACCAATAGTCTTCCTCTAGGATTGTACCAAAAGATAGTGACATCAATAAACACAGTATAAAAGCATACAAGAGAAGACATTAGTAAACCAAGCCATTCAGCATTGCAAAAAATAATTTTGGGGTTCCAAATCTTAGTTGCCCTCTGAGTCTGCTAGGAAATGTATACACAGAGATGTACGACAAGTACTTACCCAACGGCAAGATGAAGAAAAATGGAAACCAGCACGTAATGAAGACTCCAACAACTATCCCGAGTGTTTTGGCAGCTTTTTTCTCTCTTTTGAATTTGGCAACTCTGTTGGAGAATGTGAGGCGGCTATTTCTTTTCTTCGAACTGTCTTTCTTCTGTAAGTGCTGTTGTGAGTGCAGGGCGTTGTTTCCACCTGCAGGACCCGCGTGGCACCCAGAACTGAAGTCTTCCTCGTGGGACGGGAAGGTTTCCTTGAGCGCTGTCAGCGTGCTCACGTTACGCCCTGTGTGAATACGTAACGATACAACGTTCTCCTCGTCAATTTTAGCCGTTTTCGCACCCGACATGATGCAGCGAGTGTATTTGACGGTTTCCCGGTAGATTTTGAAGTACACGACAAGGATGATGAGGCAGGGGATGTAGAAAGATCCGGCGACGGAGAAGAGGACGTACCCTGGCTGAGTCGTGACTGTGCACACCCGCGGATCTGGGTCGGCTTCTTCCTTCCAGCCAGTGAGAGGTGCCACGGAGATGGCCATGGACAAAAGCCAGATAAAGATGATGACGTAAATAGCACGAGTGCGCCGCAATATTCGAGCGTGCTTCAGAGGCCTTGTGACTCCGATATATCTGAAGAAAAAAGAATAATACCCCTAAGAAGAAAAAAATATTTGAAAGTTCATCCCACAAATGCTTTTCCGATTGAACTATATATCTGTCAGAATTTATGTTCCTGAACTCCTGTCAAAAAGATGAAAGGTGTAGTTTTTGTTATTGCGGACACCAGGCAAGTCATAAACAGAGAAACATTTAATTCAGTTGACAGGGTACGGAAGAAAGGAAACAAGGGTAAAGAGAAAGAAAGATAAGGGGTAAAGAAGAAGGAAAACAAGGATAAAGAAGAAGGAAGACGAAAGAAAAGAACAAAGTGAACCTCTCGCATGATTAACGAAACGTCGCTTTTCAAACATGCTACTCAACCATCAATAGGGTTGCAAAGCCTTCTGGGATAATATGTCATTAGTGCCGTTTACTTGACCCACATTTGTAGGGGTTGACGTGAGAAAAACTTGGTTAAATGTTTTTGTCCAATATCACAACTCCCTACGACTTTTGCCGAACAGAAGACTGAGTCTATGATCTTGTAAAAGAGAGTTCAGACTGGCTCTGTGGACTAAATGTAGTGTATAGAGACAGACTGCAAACAAATCAATTATTCCCACTGACGTGCAAAGGGTTGATGTATACACATACACATGTACTCTTTTCATTTATTTATGTTTGGTGGAGCACGGGTGGAAACATTTCCGCGGCTCGAAAGCATTGTAACAATTGTGGAGTGCTAAAAAGAGGAGACAACGCCATTGTTGTTTTGGCTTATCTAGGCTTGTTGGTTTGGAATATTCTATCGGGGAAAATGGAAAAATTGAAGGAAATCAAAGTTCATATTACTATTTTAAAACGTACAAGCCAAGATTTACAGGATATTAGTACACGAAGCTTGAAGAAGTAGGATGTTATTTCTAGGATTGCATATTCGGTGCTATTTTCATCTTTCAGAAAGGAGGATCTTTAGTATGCAGTTATTGTGACAATATTTTGATCATCATGCCAGCTCACATCTCGTAAGTAAAAGTTATTCTCACTGAAATTTGGTTTTAGATGCTTGGGAAATGGGGGGACTATTACGTGACTGTTCATCAGACACGCGTGCTTTATGAAATATCCTCACTAAATCTCAGGACTAAAGCTATAAGTCAAACAGGATGGAAAGTAAATGTATCTGTGATTGAAAGAAATCTGAAGATAGCGTCACATGGGAGTAGAACAAAGAGGACGGAATCAGTAAATCTTTCATTCTTATATCAACCACTTTGTCCAAGCGGTCTTTGACCTCTAGTTGAAGATGAGATGGTATTGCTAGTGGTGTCCACATTGTTAGGTTGGTAACATCCTATATCTAAATAACTCCGTCTCCAGCACACAGAACCAGCAGGGGTGGAACACTTTAACAAGACTCAGAGAAATAGTTAATTAATAGCTTGATTGATCATTTTGATTTTTAGCTTCGAACCTGAAGGGGTCCTAAATATTCCTAAATCTAGTTTAAATCCAAATATTCCCTCCCCGCCTCGAATAAAGACTTGGTTGCCCAACTTCGCAACGATTTCATTTGTCTCCATGAACGTCTAACTTCAGTACACAAATAAAGTTACATTCTTCGACTTGAGTCTTAAAGACTTCTGTATCACTGTTTAACACATTACAGTTATAATATTACATAAACAAAACTTGCAAAGACTGAATAATTAGGCCGAAGATTCGCTAGGTTTTTATTTTAGTCAGTAACATGTGTGCAGCCCTGTTATGAAATATCCCAGGCTAACATTACAACTGCAAATAACCTTGCGTAAAAAAAACAACAACAACAACTGCAAAGTCTTATAAAAGAGAACTTGTTAACTGCGGCTAATATAATAAGCTCCTTCTTGTGCATGAACGAAAAGGACAACAAAGCATTTCACTTTGAAAACATCAACTCTTTGTAAGAAGTAACTAGGTTACATTACCCAAATGAAAAAAAGAAACTCGACATTTTCATCGCCGTTAGAGCACTGACCGGAGTTTCCATTTGTGAGTACTGTTTATGTATATTCCATTAAAATGTGGTATAAACTTGCTAGATTGACCTCATTCGAAAAATGCAATGCTAAAACTGGTTGCTTTTGCAACCAACAATTAAACAACTATCACAGCTCACAGGTACTCATTTGTCACATCATTCGAACTGTGAGTTTCTGTTCATGGGGCTATACAGGTCTGGCCTACAGATTTAAAACCTCGAAAAATGGAATTCAATTGGAAACGAAAGCAATATCAAGATGTAGAGACTTTCATCAGAAAACAGTTAGGGGGTTTGTGGACGACAACTGGCTAGCATGATTGCTTAACATGTGGCAAATGTTACAGGCTTGCTTTTCTCCACCATCTACAGACTACTGAACCGGTTTCGCGCCATAAAAGCGACCAGCGATCTCCCTCGAGCCTGAAGACCGAGGGCGACAATTACAGCCAAGGATCGCCCCTTGGAGGGTCTATACTAGATGGATCCGTCCCTGACAGCCGCCAAGACCAACAGGAACACAACAAGATGAATATGCTGAGCTCTGAGTATCAGAACCGTATAGCCAAGATTGCATCCCATTGGCCTCCGGTGCAGAGGCCCTGTCACCGGCCAGTTCTGACCTCTAACGGGGGGAACACACAATAGAGAAGGATACTGATCACAGACAAGAGCAGAATTTACGTTGAACGGTCAAATGGGAGCATCCGTGTGTGGCACACAGATATGGCGTGTTACGCTGATGCCAACGTCTTAGAGAGAGACTCTTGGGGAGGGTCAAACGTCATGATTTGGGGAGTCATCGCTTTAAATCAAAGAACTGGACCATTGTTGTTCCAGAAAGTGGGTCATGGACAAGGAATCGGGGTTACAGGTCAGTGCTACATCAACCTCTTCCAGAAGCATCTAAATTTATTTTTCCAGCAAGACAACACGATAACTCTTACTGCCCATGTAACACAGCAGTTCCTGATGCAGGTAAACGTCAATTTTTGCCTCACCCGACTCGTTCATCTGTTTAAACTCTATTTGAGCATGTTTGAGACGCTATTCAGAGGTAGCTCAACCCGCTGCAACCACCACCACGGACAGCTCCTCAATTAGTTTCAGCGATCGGCCAGCGCTGTGGGTACAGATAACAGGTCGACAAGTAAACGCTCTCGTGAATTCTAGTGGTCGAAGATGTCGAGCGGTTATCTTGGCAACGGAGGTCACATACAGCACTGACTTTCTGTCACAAGGTCAAGGTAAAAGAAACCGCATAGTGAGGCTAAAACTACAAAAAATTGCCCACGTGTGGACACTCTCATGTCTGTGTAAATTGGACGAATTAAATTTTAATCTACACTTGACAAACACATGTTGAGTGAAGAGCGTTTTATTCATACTTTATTTATTCACGTTTCTTTTGCCTCTGAGTATATTTATGAACGTCATGAAATGGGTTATAGAAGTCAAATAAATAATCTCTAAAGAACGAAGCCCATGACATTTGATTTCCATTTTGTGAAATCCAAAGCTGTACAACGTAGCCTCATACATTTCCGAACAACAGAGTGTCCTGATCTTGGTTACTGAACACAAAGTCTAGCTTGGGCCCCGGACAAAAAGAGCACGAAATTACCGCCTGGCAGGTCTCATAAACAAGGTAGTAGGGATCGATTCTTTGCTACGGGTGGTCATCCAAGTTTGAGGATGGTGTTGGTTTTTGGGGGGCGAAGGGGGCGGAAGGAGCATCGATTTATCAATAGGTGCTTTCATGAAATGACGTAGACAGTACCAAGGGTAGTATATCATCGTATCATCCTCTCCGGCACGTAATATCTGATGTGGGATTAGAAGATGACTTTGTATTCTGGCAGTAAAACAGAATCAGCAACGAGGACCGAAAGCGTTCCTTAAAGCTGACAACTTGTTTGTAAGGGTTCGTTTTTGTCCCCGAGTTCAGAAACTTCAGTTTTCATATTACATTTTGTTCGTCCTAAATATTAAGAAATGATACGATAAGATATTATTACGCTGTATTGATTCACCATTGGGAAAGGGACATAATGCTTTCACCAGCTTCTGCAACACATGATGTACATGCATGGCATATGGTAAAGTAGAATTTCGATGAAGTCATAACTTTTCAAACGTGTCTGTCCCCCCCCCCCCCTCACCTAAAAACAAACAAATCGACACAATTTAAATCTTCTGGAACTCGGGCTGATACAACATCCCACCAGCAGAAAGGCCGAGGTACTCCATGAAAGTTTTCTCAACACCTGAATCGAACTCAAGTCTACTGCATGAGGCGGTGAAGCTCCAAAACCACTACAGCGTAGACGCCGGTTCTCCTACGCTGAAGCTACACAAACCTAGAACTTTCTCGCACACAAACAGCGAGATATCTAGCATGAAACACCTCGGTATGAAAGGCACGACTGCCTTGCAAAGCCGCAGCGGGTGCTTGATGCAGAGAGGAGAACACACATAAATAATGCGGTAATAACAAACGGCTAAAAGCTGAGAACGCCTGGTATTAAGGCTGGGAAGTTGCAACGAGACCTGTGGCCCCGTTCTCAGTATTCTACCCAAGGTCTCTTTATGAATGAATAACTGCTATTTTTCTCCTGTTATAAAGTAAAACATTGGCATTTTCAACTTGCTTCTCAACAATTTTATCTCAACTGCTTCACCCCTCTCTTGCTTCTCAACAATTTTATCTCAACTGCTTCACCCCTCTTTATACGCTCTTTCACACACACGCACACACACACACACACACACACACACACACACACACACACACACACACACACACGAATACACATTCGCTAGGGTATATTCAAGCACGCATGTCCACAGGCTTACAACTACACACACCATTGTAAAAGTAATTAATTTTATAGTCTGAATCCGCGCTTGTTGAACTATTACTATTAGGTCCGGGGATTTCACGACTTTGAACAGGTGCAGAGAGAGAAAATTTTAGACTTAAAAGTAGACAGAGACTGGGGTGGAACATCAAATGACGCGAAGCTGAACTTGGGTGAATAGGAGAAAACTGCATAATTTATCTTATAGAAAATATCAGAATTTAAAAAAACCCGTAGAAATTCATATCTGAGTTGACTGTCCGTCCACATTTTCGCTCCTTTACTCAATCTGGGGCAAATGACCCGCTTTTGGGTTTTAATTACCACGCTCCCACCCCCTTTGTTTCTGCTTGTCTTACCTCTTATTTTTCTCCCTCTCCCACCACTCACTTTTTCTCTCTCCCTCCTCCTAACTCGAGCACACGCAAACACGTACACACACGCACACGTGCATGTGAATTGGAACCTCATCATGTTATCTTTCGCCATTGTACCCCTTGCCTCCCCATCTTCTTCAGAATCAGAATTTCTTCTTTCACAAGTTCAGTCGATTCCCATAACACCATATGTTTACCATGTTTTTGTTTTTTTCAAGCTTCATCACTAACCCAAAAGGTCCTGGTATTTCCATAGGCCGAAGTCAAATGTCGGACTGGTCAGGACGACACTGGAGACTTACCTGTCAATACTGATCACGCATAGACTCAAGATTGATGCAGTGCAGCACAGAACGTCAATGGCAGCCCATACATCGCAGAAGATTTGTCCAAACACCCAATACTGTAACACTTCCAGGGTGGCCGAGAACGGGAGAACTGTGGTGCCCAGTAATAAATCGGCCACAGCGAGGTTGGCAATGAAATAATTTGTCGTAGTTCTGAGGTTTGCGTGCATCGCAACTGAAGCAATTACCAGAACGTTGCCGATAATCGTTAGGATGACAATTACACCGAGGACTGTTGCAAGGAAGATCGTCTCCACTGAGGACCTTGTAAAAACCGGTATCTGTTGGGTGGAATTAGCAGCCTGAGTTGTCGCAAGGGGGGAGGCGTCTTGGTGGGCCGGGAGACCCCCGGTGAAGGCCGCGGCGGTGAAGTCTGCCAGAAAGATGGTGCGAGCTGAGAGGGTGTTGTTAGAAGGTACAGCAGTGGTGGTGCTGCTGCTGGTACCGTCGGTGACAGAGGGCGAAAGGTGGAGGTTGTAGTTCATGATTGAGCCCTCCATGACCACAAACACGTCTTTGACGACGCTTTCACTCATCCCTGGTTGTCGGGCTGTGGAAGAGAAGGAAAAGTAGAAAAGAATTATGTGTGTGTGAGTGGATAGTGCTCGTTCTGCAAGTAACAGGGGGGAAACATAATTTAGCGATATCATGGGCTTTATCAGTTAAAGCTAAACTTCTGGCGAAAACGTTTGATCTGTGTTACTGGCTGTTCTCCTATCTCCCTGCTTGTGTGTACGTGTGCGAGTGTGGAGGGGGCATTGTGTATGTGTATGTGTGTGTGTGTGTGTGTGTGTGTGTGTGTGTGTGTGTGTGTGTGTGTGCTTGCGTGTGTGTATGTGTTTGTATATGTGTATATGTGTGGAGAGAGAGATAGAGAGAGAGAAAGAGAGAGAGTGAGAGAGAAAGCAAGAGAGAGAGAGAGAGAGAACGGGGGAGAATACAATACAAAGGGATAGAGAGAAGAGGAATGGCAGATTGGCAGAGGACATGGAAACGAATTCGAAATAAACCAGGGTGACAGAGAAATAGACGGACAGATAAAAACATTCTGATAATTTCATTCCCTTTTCCTCCAATTACGGTTTGCGGTATACGTGTGTATAGTTGTAGTTGATATTAAGTTGGTCAAATAAAAATATGATTCCTACGTCTTCGAGAATCAGAACGATTGCAGTGCGCAGATTCCTGGTCCTGTAAAATATAACTGCGCCCGCACCGAGACTCCCCTCACAGACTTTTGTTTGTTTTGTTTGTTTAGTATAGGGTTTTACGGCGTTCGCAACTGCATAAGGTCATATGAGCGCGCGGGACACACCTAATACTTTTTCGTTGGTAGGAAATTTTGAATTTTGCCCGGGTGGCGGCCCAAGCCTACTCTTATCGATTTTAGACCACCAAGGGATCTTTAACGTGCGCAACTTGCACACGGGCCCTCAGAGATTTTTCGCCCTTGTCCGAGAAGGCTAGGTGTAGATCTTTCCTACCAGAAGATCAGGGGTGTGGTAGAAAGACAGCTGTAAGAAGGAGTCAAGGAGTAACAGTAGAAAGGCTGCAGAAAGAGTCAGGAGCCCAGAGGAGGGGGCAAGGGAGGTGAGGGGGTGGGGGCAGAAAGGGGAGACGAAAGCAGACGACAGAATATTGCTAGAGAGCAGGAAAGGAGGTGAAAGGATACAATTTTAGAGAAGAAAATTTTTCGGTCGCTACTCGGATTCGAACCCGGGACCTTTGAATGAGAGGCCAACACCTTAACCTCTAGGCCACGAGAGCTCCCCTCACAGACTTTGACAGTTGTGCAAAGCGTCAAACAGTTCGGAAAAGGTGGTTAGACTTTACTTGTACCGGCAAGTATACACACTGACGGCAAGTTCTCGATCAATTATATTTGCAACATTCGGTTGTCTAGAGAAAACAAAGGGTTTCGTGAGCATACCACAAAATCAGCGAAAAAGATAGACCCTACACAAATATCTTCATGTCTGTCAAACAGGTTGAAAAAAGGGGGAACGTGGTCATGAAGGAAACTGATTTATTGTGTGACAACTCGATGGTATGGGGACTTAAACTTGCATCAATGTTTCACCTTCTTGCTCCTCACCCCCATTTTCAGAAACGAGTCTTCTTCGAAATGTCAGAGTTTTATAACCAGCCCCTCGCCCGAAAAAAGAAAAAAAATCCAGAATAAATTAACAAACAAACAAGTACAACAACAAAAACCCAAACAACCCCCCCCCCCCCGGCCCCCCAAAATAACAAACTAAAACAAAGAAAAAGAAAGACAAAGCCAACAAAAAAAAACCCAACAACAAACAACTACAATAAAAAGCGTGTTACTATGTTCAAAGTCACAAGGCGACGGAAGTCGAGATTAGCGTATATGCTGAAGAGATTGGCTCTTCATGCCACGCTGGGAGGTAACAGACAGTGAAACTAGAATGATTCTTGACTCTCTTGACTCTTATATCTTCGTGCCTCTGTGTTTGATGGTTTTTTGCTACCTCATAGAGATGGTTCTACCAGCGTTAATTCAGTAATCAGAGTTCTCATGCATCTTGGAAGAGGACAAGGGAATCATGAATATAGGACTATCTGAAGGCAATATCAAAACATCTAACTGTCAGTGCTGGCGGGGTTTTTTCATTTCTTTTTTTCTTTAGGGGGGGGGGCGGGCATAATTGACGAAATTCAAATACTTCCAGCAAGAGAGTTTAAATGGAGGAAACTCGTACGTATGAGTTTTAATACCAGTATTTCCGTAGATCACTGACGTCAGTTTGCTTGGAATGTTGGAAACGATGCTGGCATGCAATACAGGGCAATTCAGCAGACTCCCTGGTGGAAGGCAGGAAGGTTGTGCAATATCGTAGTTTATAATCGTCGTCTACATCATGTTTTTTTTATGGTTTTGGAAGCAAACTCCCCCAGCGAAATGAAAAGCTTATCATAAACTGATAGAAATAGTCACGTTTTGATTTTAGAGTATGGTACCATTAGTTGAGAACAGAAAATAAATGCTTCTTCTTTTTCAGTATATGAATTTACTCTTCTTTTTGAAAGACGACTAATCAAGTGTGAAACCAGACTATTTTTGGCGGTAAAATCTGTAAACACAGCGACTTGATACATACGAAAGTTTTATGTCACATCTTTTATGTCTTTTGGGGATGACGCAAAGCCAGTTAATACATCTTTCTCTTTATGAACAATGCAATTATATATGCATCGATTCACACAGGCGAGAAGAACGGATGGAGGACAAGATTAACTTGGCTGCTAGTCTTAAGTAATATTGTAATAAAGAGAGAGAGAGAGAGAGAGAGAGAGAGAGAGAGAGAGAGAGAGAGAGAGAATGTAGGATACATTGCGTTGTAAACAAACACAAGCCTGCGATACGCCGTTTCTGGACAGCAAAGGCAATAAGCGAAGGATCTGTAAAACCCGCAATGCCAGTACAAGTTCTAACCAATACTAAGGGAGGTATTGTATAACATTTGCAACTCTATTACTTGCCTTCCACTCAACCCGCGTCCAGCTCTATGGAGTCACGATTAACACCATCAATGACGGCTCCTGTTCGCCTACCCTTATATTGAATTAGCCACTAACTCTTACACGGCACGCTGACCGCGGTATTGTTCTGAGGGACTGGCGTACATGTTGTCGTCTTCGAGTAGTCTCTGACGTCATCATGCACTTGTAAACAGGCACGTGTGCAACTGTATCTGACAACGAGAACGAAATCCAGCTTAAAATATCTGGATTCACCTTGGCGATATTTCAGCACGAAATAGTCTTTTTCAAAATAGCCACAGGGGCTTTCAGTGCCCGTCTGGTGTTTCTAATATTTCTCTAACAACAACGTATGTTTGATATCTTCCCATCATGCACTACTTTCATTTCATTGTGTAAGATACCTGCATGGATTTTTTTCTTTGCGGAAGATTTGTTGGCAATAAAGTATTCATTTCTTTTTCAGTTCCACCATGCAGATATCTGAATAATACAAGTCTGCCATACGTGCCGTGACGGCTCCGTATTTCAAAGCGTAACAATTTTAACGATACATCATGTTTATTGCCAAGCATTTGAAAGTATAGCAATAAGAAGGAAAACAAGAAAGTAGCGATAAAACATTCTGAAAAAATGTGTCGTACCTTAATAAGTATTCGAAACTAAATAAACGTTCTTTAGACTGAAAGCAACCTGTCACAGCCATAAAACAATAGCAACAACAATCTAAACACAGCAGTGTAAGAGGGCTATTCGAAAAGTAAAAAAGGAAGTGGCCACTAAAAAGCTCTCCGGCTTATGGTTCCCGGTTGCCTGTGACTGGCCTGGATCTTGTGCATTTGGCACAGGGGGACACAGTTTAATTAGGTCACTAAAAGGCAATTGTTGTTGTAAGGATCTGAATAAAACTTGCATTTTGACAACAATACTCAGCTCACTGAGATACGCGCTTCATTCATCACCAGCTCCTCAGAGAATACAACCTTCCCCTTCCCGTAAAAACATTCTGGCCTATAGATGGCAGCCAACTAGGATCTTTGAGATAAGATCATCATCTTCAGTATCCCATTTTCTGCTAATTGTCCCTTTCGAAGGATGAACAGATAAAGTACAACGGAGCAGGACTATGTGGACGATTCAGCAAGACCTCCTTCCATCCATACCAATAGATCTTGTCTTTAATCGGATTCGAAGAGAGAGGATTAGTTTTGTCGAGTTCGGAATATTATGGCCTTGCTCAGATATCTAGATGTCTTTGGGTGGTTGCTTTGGGACCTTTCTTGCCGACACTTTATGATACCCCTGCTGCTCGGAGACAATATGATGAATGACTGATGTCCGAAAGGTCAAAAGCCATAGAAATGGCCCTAACTGTCAGCTGCCTAAATCTTCACGAACAAACAGGTAAGCTTGTAAACTTTGGGAGTGCTGCTTGTGGACCGTCTACTTGATGCATCCGTCCTAGATCAAATTATCGTATACAGAATATGCCACGTCCTTAATGCCTTTCGTCGTACTCTACATTTACATGGGATTCTATCATTTGTTGCATTTGAAACTCATTTGACTCCATGCACCTCTACTATTGACAATCCGCAATGAGGATAGTCATTTTTAATACAGTGTCGTAAATGAAAACAACTGGTACTTTGCACAAGTAATGTGCATTGCCTTTTGATTTACAAATGATAAAAAGAGGGATTATATTTTTGTTTACTAACATTTTCACCGTAGTTTTCCGATTGCCCTCACAAATGATAAAGATAAGTTAGATTGTAAAATACAAGATAACCTATTTTAAAGAAACAGATTGCTCCTTTCACTAACCCGAAAAATAGTTATGCCACACACGAAAGGGGACACGGAAAAGGGATCGGTAAAGACCAAAAACAAATTGTGTCAAACAAACAGCTACGCTGGAAAACAACCCAACACCGACATGTTGTGGGTGCCGGATGTACGAGAATGCCACCCGCCTGTGAACATTTGCAGATTTGTTTATAACCTCAAAACCAAAGTCTGCTTGTCGGCACCTGCTGTTGTATTCGGCAAAGGAAGTTTATGTCTCTGTGATAATTGCAACACCACACGTCCGGTGAGCGCATGAACAACTGAGTAACTTAAATGTTTTGATCGCAGCCCCCTCCCCCTCTCCGGTTTTCTCGTTATGAAATGAAATTACATTGAATTGAAATGCTTTCGATAGAATAAGGAACAACGAGGGTGGACTAAAAGGAAATGA